TTGACATTTCCTCTGTGATGCAGCACATCTCCTTGATGGTCAAGTAGCATATCGCGATGGAGTGTGGGATCATTGCGACTGAAAGAAGCTTGCTCATGGCAAAGAAGGGCCTCCCGTTTGTTCCGTGGTCCCCAGGTGCTCCCCCTGGTTTAGTAGGATAAAGGAATCTTGGTGAGGATGTAGGCCACATTTCCAAGGGTTGATGGGGAGTTTCATTAATACGCACCGGCCTCCTGGAGGACGCACTCTTCTCAAGGTGCTTCAATGGGTTGGAGCCTCCACCCGGCTCTTCGTTCCTTCTTGTCGAATTTCTTCAAACACATAGCTTGGAGTCGGTGTTGGTGCAATGCCAGCAACGCAATGCTCAAGGGGCACGGCACAGAGTTCTTTTGTTTGGTTGTTTGTTGTTTTGAGACAGAGTCTCTCTTGCTGCCAGGCTGAAGTGCAGTGGTGCAATATCAGCTCACTGCAACGTCTGCCTCCCAGGTTGGGAGCGATTCTTGTCCTCAGCCTTCCAAGTTAGCTGGGATTTACAGGCATGCACCACCATGCCCGGCTGCCTGGCTAAGTTTTGCATTTTTAGTAGAGACAGGGTTTCGTCATGTTGGCCAGGCTGGTCGCTCCAACTCCTGGCCTCAAGTGATCGCCCCTCCGGCGCCTCCCAAAGTTGCTGGGATTATAGGCATGAGCCACCATGCCTTTGACCAAGAAAGAGAGTTTCATTAGATACCAACAATAGCAGGCTGGCTTATTTTATGATGTCTAATATCCTTAATAAAATGTCAAAGTTTTTTGAAACATGGGGTAGATACAATTAAAATCCCCTGTGAACCTCTCCGTGAATCTCATTCCCTGTCTTTACTGTATGTATAACCATTTTTTTTTTTTTTTTTTTTTTTTTTTTTTTTTTTTTTAAATGTATTTATACTTTTTCTACATGTGTATGTATATACAAATAATACTGTGGAAATTTCACGCTGTTAAGTAAAAAATGAAAATTAAAAACATTTTAAGTACCAGATTGTAACATTTCTTTCTGCAATGTCTTATCTTGTCTTTTTTCAGATTCTTCCATTGGTGGATTCCTATAGCTCTGTTTTTCACTGTAACTTCTGAAAGTAAGTCTATTGTAGGTGTTGTTATATATACTTCGCCCATCTTTCTATTGAGTCATCTTTTTTCATATTGAATTTTGTTAAGGAAAACATAATTCCAATGGACATTTGTTAACGCGCAGTAAGGAAGACTTGTATTCAGGACCATCTGGATGAGCATAGGGACAGCGGTCGATGGTCGTTGGAGTGGGTGAGAGAGAGAGAGTTGGGCTCAAACTCTGAATACTGGCCTGGGCAAGCTGAGAGTCTTGTAGTACCGAGGAGCAGGGTGGCAGTCAGTGGGGTGGAAAATTACTAAAAGGAAACATTACAGGTAAATTTGAGGAATTCTGCTAACCGCACCTAAGGGGACTCGTCTTGCGTAAAGACAGCGCGGGGTGACCTGGTAACATTACCTGGAGGATGGTGCAGAGGTGAGGAATCTGATCAGACATCCGAAGGTGATCAGAGCATAGGAGGCCGGCGGCAAAACTGGAAAACAGGAGCGCGTCTTTGCTAATACTATGTATTTACATATATATATAGTGAATGTCGCTATCTCAGATGAGCCCTGTATATTAGTGTAGTGATAGTTTGTATCTATTGGTTTGGTCAAGCAGAGAGTCTTTACAAATTATAGGATTTTTTCACTTTTCAACACTAATCTTCAGTCCAACCAAAGTACGTCTCTCTAATCAACCACCAAAGCTTGCCCAGATGAAGCCAGGTGGCATTTTAGGCGCGCGCGGCGCCGGTCCCCTCTGACTTTGTTGACATCGTGTGTGTAGATGTGGTGTGGACTTTCCCTTCCCCTCGACACGTTCCTGCCTGTCACTCACTTTGAAGACCCTGCCCAGTGCTGATCCCCACCCTTGTAGGTTGGCATCTTCACGTCAGTTCTTTCCCTGTTTCCCCCTTTTTTCCGGAGGTTCTCCTGAGGATTTTTGTGTGCACCCTGGGCTGCCCCTTTTCCACTCGTGGTCGCTCCCTTGCAGAACTCAGCGTTTATGGCTGGCTTTCGGGTCCTCAGTTCCCGCTGTGTGTCTCAGCTCCCAGTGTTTGTCCTGGTGGCCTCTTCTAAGGCTGCTACTCCCGCGTCCTTCCCACCTGCCTAGGGGACTGACGATCACTTGATAGTCCCACCAATGTAGGAGAACTGTTCTCACGTTGAATATATTGTTCCCCTCCCTTTTTCCATTTCCCATAGTCTCTTCCTCCCAGTGGTTTGTTAAGCACAGTATAGGACTTTCCGAGCAAGGAAGGGACTAGTTGAGAGAAAGTGTTTAAACGGCACATGTCAGTTAACAGGAAAACAGAAATTTGCCGGGAAAATGTCACCTTGTGATGCATGGCGGTCCTGTAGTAATCAAGGAGCTGGATTCAGGAAGAATGTACCTACTGAGAACAGGATTTTAGTGTCCAGGGAATGTGCGCGTTCGTTTTTGAAATTTTTCTCAATTTTAAAAATATTTAATTGTTCACCAATGAAGATGTGCATATATCCAAAGTGTACAATGTGATGATCAATATACATTGTATCATGATTACCAGAATCCAATTAATGAACACACCCCTCACTGCCCTTGCTGTACCTGAGATCCAGAGCTGGTTCCTTTTGTGACTCAGTTTGCACCCTGTGACCGACATCTCCCCGTTGCATCTCCTCTCCGTTTTTATTTCTTTCTTTGAATTGGCTTTGCTTGCATTCTCTTTTCTCTCTATTTTCTAATGACTTTTTTAACATTTAATCCGCGGAAGTATCTTTATTGTTTCTGTTTGTACCTGATTGCTGTGGGTTGATACTCAGGACAGGGCTGAGCAGCAGAAAACTTAAACCAAGAGGCAAGAGGTTGCAATGAGCCAAGATCACACCACTGTACTCCAGCCTGGGTGACAGAGTAAGACTCTGTCTCAAAACAAACAAACAAACAAACAAACCAACAAAC